TGTAGAAAAAGCATTTTTGCAGATTGCTTTGGCAGAAAAGGATCAAGACGCAGTGCGATTCCTGTTTGTGGAAAAACACACAATTAAATGACCTAAAACTAGCGACATATAGATTCAAGCGCGTAAATTTTGGGATTTAAGTCAATTCCGTTTTTGTTGGCTGCAACATTTAAAGAACACATTAGAAAATATCGAGATGAGCAGCCAGATGTATTTGAAATATTGAATTCTTGTGTTTATGTTGATGATTTTATTACTGGACAGGACAGTATAGATGAGGCTCTAAGCTTATCGCGTAAAGCTAAACAAATTATGAGTGCAGCAAATATGAACTTGCGTAAATGGGTATCCAATGATCCTGAGCTGATGATGAGAAAATGGGAAAAGAAGAAAGTTCGAGATCCATCCACATAAAATCAATGACTCAAACGAGACACTTAAGATCTTGGGAATATCTTGGGATACTAATGAAGACAGTCTGAGTATAGACACAGACAGTTTGATGGAATTCCTTAAGAATAAGCGTAATACGAAACGGTTCATCTTGAAAACTGCCGGGAAGATTTTTGATCCCTTTGGGTTAATAACTCCATTTACTGTTAGACTTAAATTCTTGCTACAAGAACTTTGGGTTCGAAAATTGACATGGGATGATGAACTACCTACAGATATCTGTCAAGAGTGGGCAAAGTGGTGCTGTGAGTGTCATCATCTAAGTAAAATTGCAGTTCCAAGATTCATTTTGAAACCCGAAGCCGATTCCATAGAGATCCATTGCTTTTCAGATGCCACTCAGAGGGCATACGGTACTGTTGTCTACGTAAAACTGCGTAAACAAAAAGAAATTTCTGCGAGTTTCGTCGCATCAAAATGTCGTGTTGCACCTGCGAAAAGAATTACTTGGTGCATTATTAGCAGCGCATTTAGGTTCTGGAGTGAAAAAATTGCTTGATCAAAAGAAATCCTCGAGAATATTTTATTGGACTGATGCCAAAATAGTGCTATGCTGGATTAAAGGTACCAGTACCAAATGGAAATCTTTCATCGCCAACAGAGTTAACGAGATTAGGAAGTTAACACAACCGACAGAGTGGTTCTATTGTTCAACAAAAGAGAACTCAGCAGATGTTATGACGCGTGGTGTTCAAATTGACTTTCTTGTGAACTGTTCCAAATGGTGGTCATGCCGTGACTTTCTAACATGCTCAGAGATTCCTCATCAGGACTTATCATTTGAGGTAGTTGAAGAAGTGTGGCCAAATGAACTTAAAAAGGAAAATGAACTGCATAACGATTCTAACTTAGTTTTAATTGCATGTAATGAACAAACCTCTTTAATGATATTCTTAATTTGTCTTCTAATTATACTAAACTTATTCGTATTGTAAGTTTCATTTTCAGGTTTATCCATAATCTTAAGAACTTTCAGGCAAGGAGGTACGGAGTACTTACTTTAGAAGAGATAAAGGATGCTGAGGTGTATATTTTATTAGAGGCCCAAAAACGTAAGTTTTGAGAAGAAATAAATCAATTAAAAAGAGGTAAGTGTGTAAACCTCAAAAGTACTAGTGTAGAACTAAAAAAATTGCAAAAATTGGTTGAGTGTCCAGATGAGAATTTAGCGAGTTTTTATACCACTGAAGGTATAGAATGGAAATTTATTCCTCCAAAGTCGCCAAATTTCGGCGGAATTTGGGAGGCCGGGGTTAAATCATTTAAGAGTCATTTGAAGAGAGTTATTGGGAATCAGTGTTTAACTTACTAACTAACTAACTAACTAACTAACTGTTTTAACTGAAATTGAAGGAGTATTGAACTCAAGACCTCTTACTCCAATTTCAGCTGATTACAATAATTTTGAAACTTTGACCCCAGGTCACTTTTTGGTTGGTAGACCTATCACAACTCTAGCTGAGCCAGATTTATCCAACATAAATGAAAACAGACTTTCTAAATGGCAAAGAATCACTAAGTATACACAAAAAATTTGGAAATTATGGAAACGTGATCATCTGAATAATTTAAAAGAACGTCACAAGTGGAAATTTTTAAAGGATGATGTTCAGTTGGGAACTCTTGTATTAATAAAGGATGAAAATTTGCCTTCAACCAAATGGTTATTAGGGAGAATAGCTGAGGTTTTTCATGGTAAGGATAACAAAATAAGAGTAGTAACTGTAAGATTGCCTAATCAGCATTTGCTGAAATGAAATGTTCGAGATATATGTATACTTCCTGTAGAATGATGGTTTATTTCTATTATAAACTGGTATTTGTTGTAATAATTTGAATGTATATTTTTCAATATTGTGATTTGTTATTGTGAAGTAATTTATTGTAGTGCCTTTATATTTACATTTATTGAAATAATAGTTTTGAAATTGTTAATTTCAACGCCGGGAGTGTTTTGTATTAGCTGAGAAATGCTTGGCGCCAGAGCGGAATCTTGGCTAATGGCGCATGCGCCGCCGGAATTGGCGTTGAAATGTATTCTGTGAGAAACTTGATTTTGTAGTACATTGGAAGTTGCGATTTATATGTTACGCTTAAGGTGAAACCTAGCACCAGAGTGTCGCTATGGAAAATAAATGTATTGAAACTGTGTAATGTGTGTGGTGTTATTTTATTACGATATATAGCTATCGACGGGAAATAGAATAAGTCAATTCACTTGTGTTTGCATTGTTAGCAAATTTGTACTAATTGAGTTAGCAGTTCATTTTTTTAAATTTATTTTTTTGTTTTATTTTAATTGTTACTACTTTTCAGAAAATTTTCTTTTTGCTTGGTTTAACTTTATTAGATTCTAATTACTAATAAAATCTCTGTTCTTTCATTGTTAAATTTATTTGTGTTGCTATTTAGAAAACTAATTTTACTTTGATTTTTAAATGACCTTGATTGTTTAGTTCTGAGCAGTATTATAATCATGAGAATGAATACCCAATATATGGCACTCGGGCTACAAATTGCTTCATTATCACCACAGAATGAGGGGAAAACTGGCTTAAAAGGAATATTTGTAAAATTATAAAATCATCAATATTAGTATTAAGGTGCCTAACTCTGTTTTACAGCTTTTTTGCAATATTTTACCTTTTATTACTAATGTTTTTACATAATTCTCCTATCCATCAGTAATAAAATACGCTCTTTCAAATAACCTTGAGTATACATCTGCATAATCTCTCCTTCCTAAGCAGATTTTTTTTAGCATGGAAAAGAGAAAATTCGCTGCTATATAAATAAGTTTTCTTTTGAACTTATCTTTTTTTTTTTACAGAATTTTAATTTGGAAAAATCCAATGTTACACTGATATCTTCATTTGAAGTATGAAATTGAGGAATTCCAATACAATATATTTCTATGTTTAGTTTTGGTCTAAGTTTTGGTTTAAAATATCCTTTCTACAGCTGCATTCCTTACTGGCAAATTTTAAAGATTAGACAAATTAATAAGTTAAGCATGTGAAAAACCCACCCACTTCTGCTAAAAACTGTTTGCACTTGCTCTGTGATCTCAGGATTGCCAGATACCAACTTCTATTTAAGCCTAAACAACTTTTTTTATTTAGTTATTACAAACCTATTTTATCAGATACATTATTTTAACATATAAACCTTTTACAATCGAATATAAATTATTAAAGTCGAAAAAAATAGCACAAGGAAATAGCAGAGCAGTAAAAATTTTGAAAATTACATGCATGTAAATTTTAGACATACAGGTTTGTCAAAAGTAGCAAATTTGCGAGAAATCGCATAATCATGCAACACTGCCATACAATAATAATAATATTCTATAACACAGTACAAAGTCTGTAATCCGGACTTGTCAGGACTTCGGCGATTCTGGATTATAGATCATCAATTTAAATCTGGTAAGATGGCACGCAGAAATTATACAATTAAAATATGAAATCATAATTTATGAAATAAAGAACAATTATGATCTAAAGGGTATAAAAATTTACAAAAAAAAAAAAAAAAAAGCTTAATATTTATTTGTTTACTTTATTAAACATTTCCTTCAATGTAAGTTGTTTAAGATGCTTTCACAAAAAACTCAAAAAGTTCCTTTTTCTTTTTTCTTATGTCATCCAATGCCATATTCCTCGCATAATTTTGAGACGGATATGCCTTTATCCTTTTGCAGCAATTCCACTTTTTGTTTGATGGACATCAAAACATGGTTTCGCTTTGTAGATCCTTTGGCAGCTCCAGAATTGGAAACTCTTTTTGACATAATCGAAAGTTCAAGCATAAAATTGCTCTAACAGTCTGCAAAAAAATAATAAGCCAGATCCAATTAGAAGATTAAGAAACAGCGCAATCCGCAACATTAATTAAAATGCCTTAGAATCAGTAAAGATAATTTTAGTCCAGCTTATACTGTCATTTATACATTAAACATGCATGTGTAAACACATTACGCGCACGTGTAAAGCATACCAAAAAAAAAAATGTTTTACAAACATTTGAGGTCCGGATTATAGATCATTCTGGATAACGGACGTCCAAATTACAGACTTTGTACTTCTTAAATTAAATATTATATTATAAAATTAAAAGAAGACAAATTTCACAGTTCCATTATGATTCATTATGATGAAAATAAATGTACTAAATGCAAAAAGAAATACTACTCAGAGAAATCGCCGCTGAGTTTCAAAAGTGCAAATCAACATACATTCAGACACATATACATCTGTGCTGCCACATAAATACTTTTTGATGATATGGTGCATTGCCTAAACAGTACCTTTTCATGGTATTTTGGTGGGGATGCAAACTATCTAAAAGTACTCAATTTCTTAATAAAGTTTTACAAGACAAAAACTTGGAATAAATTACAAACAGCATATTTAAATAAACTGAATAATGAAAATTTGCAAAAAGGGGATGATACCACACAACAATTAAATTTTGCATTACAAATTCTGAATACAGCATAAAATATGATTTTTCATAAAAGAATAGATCAAAAGCATATAATTTACCTCCCTTTTAGCCAGCAAAATATTTGGAACTATGTGAGGTAAACAGCGAGCCAACATCATAATCACAGTTTCTTGAGAATTAACAATATCAGATACTTCATTTATTACCCGATTATCTTGTGCAATTTTTTGTGATTGGCAGAGACTAAACAATGTTTTCTGGAATTCTTGAGATATATTCCTTTAAAAAATACAATAAAATAATCACTAAACTGAAATGGCATAAGTTAAAGCTCTTCAGTATTTATCACAGATTAATAATTTTAGATTATTAAATTTTCTTTACAATAAGGTTTTCATGTCTAAAGAAATACAGAGCTCTTAAAAAGTGGTATTTTAAACACAACTTTTACTTATAAATTCCATTTCTTATGTAATAAAAGTTCCTGTTATTACAGGATTTTATATTCCTCACAGAAAATAATAAACATATAACAACTGCACCTTATATGACATTTTAGATGGAATAATCAAAAAGGTATTTATCTCAAGTAAATACACTATTTAAAAAAGGGTGTCACAGGCTATAAGACTATGAAAAAGGCTTATTTTTGCCATGCATCAACTTATTACTAGCAAATGTTTATAGCAACACACTGAGAATGACAAATGAACCAAATTATAACTGTGTGAATGCAATCACAATTTTGACTGACAGCATTCGAACAGATAGAATTTGGAGGTCTAAATCCTATTAAACTACTGTGAGGATCACTGGATTAATGAACTTTAAATGTTTCCATTTTCCATATATTCAAAATATGTTTTAGATATTTTTTAATATGATATACACATTTATGTGCAGAAAAACTGAAATGAGGGATAATTATAAGGAGATGTTTTTGTGGATATGTTACAAAAGTAACAGGCTCATACTTAGATAAGAGAATATTTGAAAGGATCACATAGCTAAATATTTTGTTACAAATTTAAAAACCTAGAAAAAATGTCCAGTGTTCATCACATTTAACTTTATGAATAACAAAGTGGTATGATACTTTTAACATACATGATGTTACAGTTTACCAACAAAAATCAATTTATGAGAATCTGCAGTCTTTTAAAAAAATATACGCATGCACATATAGAAGAAAGTAAACATATGCAAAGCTCCTGTGTTTCATTTACAACTAGCCACATAATCATCCATGAAATTGAAATGTCACATCCACATACTTATTGCTCCCCCTACACATTTTCAGCACATAATTTAAACTTTTCAGCTAGGGCAGCTAAGCAAGGGTGTCAGTAGTCAGCAGATTACTCCACATAAATAAAAAGGAACAGTAATAAAAACAGAAATCTTGATTTCTTTGAAATATAGAATGTGATAATATAAGGTTAACTGAAAAGATGGGAAAGTGCCTTTATTTCTCTTCCCCAATATTACACACAGCAGCTTCTTGTTGAGTTTTGTGAAGGTTACACATCGAAAATGGTCCAGATATTCGTGGCTTTCAGTATTTGGTCACAGATAATGGAAGTATATAATACAGTTTATCATCACTTGTCATGAAAATATCTCTATGATTATAATGCAAAGATGTGATTGAATTTTTTGTTAAACTTGTGAGAAACTGTAAGAAAACACTTGTAATGCTGCAGTATGCATAAGAAGATAATGAAACATTTTGCCCTGCTTTAGTATATAATTGAGAAATGCAATTCAGGATGGTAACACAAAAATGATGAATAATGCACATTCTGGCAGATTATCGACAATAATACAACATTGCATACGGTTATGCAAGTAAAAACTGGTGAAATATATTAAAACAAAAATTTTATAAATATAATATTTTTTAATCTTACTTCCAAATGAACAGTTAGTACAATTGCAAACATTAAACCAAGTTAAAAAAGATAACATATTCAGTTACCAGTCAAAACAGTTCGAAATTCTTTAAATGCATTCTCATGGACAGATAACACATACATATTCAGAATCATACCTATATAAACATTCATTTTTTAATATGTAAATTTTAATGTAATAATAATATGCAAATATTCATTCACATTAACATAAAAACAATAACATCAAATAAAGACTTTATTCTAAACTCCTGAATATATACTTACGTTTAAAAATTCAAGTTTACATAATCAACTCTACAAACTAAGAGGAGATGAAGGGTATTTACATGAGCAGACTTCGGATATTTGGATTCTACAACAAACTTATGCAATGCTGAAGGATAAAACACCGAGGGTCTGGCTGCAAAGGAATTACTGTAACTTTTCCTAACACAGTCACAGTATCTAATATTCATTATTGTTCACAGAGGGAAGACATCCTCTCCAACATGCTAACAATGCTGGGATAATTGCATATCATCAGAGAAAGCAGAAAATCTTATTGCTCAGTTTTTTCCCCTTAAACATCTATAAAACTGGAACATTTCAGCATTGTAGGGCAGGAAACTTTATCACTCAGTCATTCTTTGAACATCTATAAAACGGAATATTCATAAGTAGATCAGGAACTTTTACTAATCGGTAATTTTATAAACATTTGTAAAACTGGAATATTTCATCAACGTAGGGTGGGAACTGTTATTGCTCAATCATATTTTAAATATCAGTAAAACTGAAACATTTCATTAGTGAATGGCCAGAACCTTTATCACTCAGTCATTTTTCAAATATCTGCAGAAATAGAACATTTCATCAGCATAGGGCAGAAACCTTTATCAGTCTGTCTTTTAAATTCACCTCCAATCAAAATCTTTCACCATCTCAGTAAAAACTACACACCTTTCTACAATATATCATCTGCAAATTTCTCTTTTTCTATTTTTTCTAACTCAAAGTAAAAGCATGAAAGCTAAAAAAAAAAAAAAAAAAAATTCCTATAAAAACTTTCCTATTTTCCTCCAGATTCTATTATTAATTAAAAGGCATCTTTTGACGAAGCCATGGCATATTTAAACTTAATTGGTCAATTACAGTCTGCCACAACCTTTTCCAAACCAATTATAACCATGTAGCAATTAAAATTAAGTACCACACATATTTTTCTACATCCTCACAAGAAATAGCGAGTAAGGTATTTTTTTACCTTGCTTGTTGTGGGGATTCTCGAAGATAATTTCATGCCTTAACAAAAAGTCTTAAAGTCTTTTTTCATGTGAACATTTATTTCTTAGGCAGGCCTCGCTGTCTCATTATGGGAACAGAAAACTTTTCTCTCCCTCTAACAGACCCAGAGAGAAAATATAGCCTTTATTCACACTCTAATTGTTTAATTTTTAATGGAACCTACATTTTTACAGCTCAATCCCTATTTTTTCGACATTTCCTGTCAAGGAATTCACAGCATTTAGAAATAACCCTAAAGCTTATCTCTACACAACAACATCAATTCGGCAGACAGTGAACAACAATTATTATGCAGATATCTTGAAAAGTATTTATATGTAACCATGAGGAAAAAATGATCGGATTTGCTCAAAATACAGTTTTACTCCAGGACAATGCCCAACAGCATGCTGCTGTGACATTACACTGCCTGAAATTAATGTGTTTAACTAGGGCGTTTGCATATAGCCAAGACTTAACGACATATGATTTCTGTGATTTGACACTGAAAAGTTATTTGGGAGAAGAGTTAACTTCAGACAAGAAAGTGAAAAATGCAATGTACACAATGCTAAAAAAGCTATCACAAAACAGTGTATTTTATGTCTTGGAATCATTTATAAGACACTGTGATAAGAGTAATTCTATGTTAGATTCAAATTTGAAAGGAAAACATATATATATATAAGGTCCATAGAGTAATCTGATTTTAAATTAGAAAATCAGTTTCAAATCATTTTATTCTTGTATTAGTATATCCACTTATAAGTACACTTTAATCTGCTAAGTTCTCTCCTAGCAGACCTCTACTCTTTAGAAACACTATACACTGTATAATTTCCCGCTGTTCACTTACAACAGATAAACTTAGTTTATCTGTTAATATACCATATGTACTATACCAACTAAATATGCATATGTAAATATACCAACTAAAATATGTAATTGAATTTTAAATCTTATAACAGTTATGGCAGCTGTATTCTTAAAAAATTAATTAATTAATTAAAAATTTGTGCACTTATCATTTTATGATTATATGCAAAAGTTAAATACAGATAAAAGTTTTAATATACCTTTCAACTTTATATGACAATTCTGTATAACTATTTGAATGAGCATTTAGCATATCTACATTTTTATTCACAGTTTCAGAATTAGGTTCCACTTGGAATGTAGTAAAAGAATCATTTGCAGCAACAGAAACTGGACTGTTATCAACTTGCTTGCCCACTATTACATATTCTTGTGTGTCAGATGAATCTACAGATTTCATATCCTCTCCTACACCAGAAAGTGTATGTCCTGCATTCTCTGATCCAGTATTTCCGGAATTCATTTTAAACATCTTAAGCTCTCTAGAAAAAATAAAAATTTTAGATCAGTTTTCTAAAAATTATTTAATTAGAATTTAATATGAAAATAGGAAATGCCAAGGAATAAAAAAATATACTGATTAGAAAATATGAAAATAAATATATCTGTTTTTTTAACATAATAATACTTGAAGTTAGAAGAATATAACTTGAGTCGACAGTTCCTTCAATGCTCTTGCATAGTATGATAAGAGAAAACATATTAGATTCCCTACAAAGAAATCTCCCCCCCTCACACTAGTGCTCAAAACCTATGAAGATTCATAAACAACTCCTTTACTACATACTTAAAACATGAAAAATGACTTATAATAAAAATGAAAACAGCTCCTTTACTACATACTTACAACATGAAAAATGAGTCCAATTAATCAAAAATATGTAATATGGGTTTAAAAATTTCATTTCTATAGTCAAAGATTTGAAACTATTGATCATGGAATAAATTTGTACATGCTTACATTAAAAAATCATTTTGAGAAATATGTCAAGCTTATCAGGGAGTCCCCAAAATACAAGTCTTTTAGTATTTTTATGCAATATCTTGAAAATATTAAATCACAAAATATTTCATTAATTTTTTTTTAATATTAAACTGCCATAAAATGGCCAACACAGTCAGTCCATTAGATAGATTACTACTAACCAGGCTAAACAATAAGTAATTAAAACTTGTTAAAAGGTAAATTAAAAATATTTACCTTTTTAAACTTTTCACTTCAAGTGCAAGATTCTCTTTTTCTTCAGCAATCATTGCTAATTCATCCTTTTCATGGATTAGTTTTGTAATTTGGTCTAACAAGTTTTTTTGTTCTTGTTTCTAAAATGTAAATGAAAGTGCTCAGCAATAATTTATTACAACAGAATAACAATTTAAACATATCAGTTATTAAAATTTAAATTACATAAAATCAGCTACAGAAAGGATTAAATCACTTGAAAGAATTAAACCTCCATGAATACATCAACAAAAACATAAAAAATATTGATTTCCATTAAAAATATCAAACCTTAACATAATCACTCTAGTTAAAATATCACAATTTCACTCTGTGCCACAGACTGCTGACATAAACTACAGGTAAACTGAATCAAACATCAACTGATTTTATCCAATTATTTCTTACTTATCAATGTGGTAAAATGTTCAGTACATACGAAAACATTGGTTATGCACTAAAATAGGCTTAAAAAAATTGTTTCACACAAATAGAGAAAACACTAGGATCTATGAAATTTCACTGTGACAATCACTAGTTAATATTAATGGGGAGGGTAAATAAAAAGAAATGTTAAAAAATAATTACAACTTACGCATTTTTCATTATTACGAAAGTCAGAATTACTCTCATCATTCTCTAAAGCTATACGATCTGTCTGAACCATCTTGGTAGAAACATCATTATGCAAATACATATATCTACTAAAATTTCGATACAGTTGAAGTAAATTTGGTGGCTTAGGGATATTAAGGCCAACATCATCCCAGTCTTCAAAATCCTATAAATAGGGAAAACCAACTTGATTCTTAAGGTCATTATAAAATTTTTATACTAGGTTATTTCATTTCAACATCTTAATGCATTTAATAACATAGAATATGCACATTCAAGTGAATTTTGTAAAGATACAATGTCTCAGCTCAGAAGAATGCATTGATAAAAACGAAAAAATACACACAAGCATCATTCCACATACAGAGGGGTCCAAAAATGTACTCACTGTTTGTAGTTACACAATATCTAAACACAAAAATTTTCACTCGCTGATCTAATGTGTAGTGTAGTGCAAGGTATTAAATTTGGTGTGGTAGGCAGAGCTGGCAGTTTATGCTGCACATACGCAGGTGGTGCAAGGAGCCAGTAATATTAGCCAGTGCAGCAGAAAACAACCGAGTAGCAACAATGGCTTAGGTTTGCTTACTGTTTGCTGAATGCAAGGCTACACTGAAATGGTAGCAGAAGAACATGAACATTTACCAGGTACAATGGCAGTGGCAGAGAAAGAATGGAACAACATCACCAAATGTGGAATAACTGCCTGCATCCAGTGCTGCAACTTTTTACAAAATCACTGCAAAATCAGTGAACCAGGCAGCATACGAAAACGGGGTCAGCCAGTCAAGTGTAAGACAAATTCTGAAGAATGAGAAGTGGAAAGTATATATTCTAAGATTGCTACATGCAATGAATGAGGACAATCCCAGATTGAAGGATGGAGTAATGTGAATGGTTTCAGCACATGGTTGGCTAGGATCAGAAATTTGCAGAGAAGTTTGTAGGGACTGACTAGGCACAATTCAAATTTAATAGTACTGGGCTCCTGAAAATACTCATGCTCATGTGGACAGTGAATCTACTGGAGTTCGCTGCGTGTTGCTAGTGTTCGAGATGTCAGGCTGTGCCTCAATAAAACTGTACTTAGACAGTGGGTGGATCACAGAGGTGCTCCACCACGGTGCGCCGCACTATATCTACTCGGTCTTGTGACTGTCAAGAATGACGTGTACTGACAAAAACCGATGAACTGTGTGAAAAATTGTCGTCAAGTGCTGCCATTGTGCCACAGACACTAACATCCATAGTTTGGTGTGCAAGTTGGCACCATGGACATACTATAGAAGCCGCTGGTGGTCATTTCAAACACATACCATAAATTATTTTGAGAAATTAATTTAGTACAATGATGAATTTCTAAAAGATCTAATATCCATAACACATATGCATAACACTGTTAAATGCTTCTCTTTGCTCCTGATCAATTTTATAAATTTTATAACAGAACAGATATTATCATCACTAAAAATGTTTTATTCATCTTTAAATGAAAAGAGGATTTTTTGGTTGTTGTTGTCGTATCTGCGAGAGGCATTTTGATTTTCATTTTTAGGAATGTTTTTTACAACAGATAATGTAAGCATAGATCAGTAATTTTTACTCTGCAATGTAGGATAGCTTTCTTAGATATCAATTACACGATCAGTATTCTTCACTTTTAGATTCTGGAGGATTTACAGATATTTTATTAGTTGTGCTTTTATTATTTCTCTGAGATATCTTGGTCATCCTTTATGTAGAGAAAAGAAAGAAATTCACCGAAATTTACATATTTAAAAGAATCAGTATTTTTCACAGTGCAATCAGATCCTGGTATATACCTAGACTTATTTCATGCAATATAGTTGAAAGTGATAACAATCCTGTAAGTGGTTAAATTGCTGACGATTGTGATATTGAGCCTACGAACTTAAATTTTGTAATTTTTTTTTAAGTTGATTTAAATTTGAATATTTATTTTACTTAAAAAATATTACTGACTTTTGATACAGGTACTGAATTTCAAATATTAGTTTAAACATTTGAGTTTTAATTTGCATAGCCAGATAGTATTAGATGCATAGAAACCTAGCTGTTTAAATTTAGGATATAAACTTACAAACATATCTAGGATAAATACCTGATAACAAATTTAGATAATCAGGATTTATTCTAACCATATTTTAAATAACACTAAATGTTTTTCATTTTCAGAATTCCAGTAATCTTCTATAACACAGTTAGTAAAAGAATTAGTAGTGTTTTTCATACATATTAATTTTCTCTTTTTCATGTACATATATAATATAACATAATAAATTAAAATGGTACTCCTGTTATCAGGACTGGGTTCAGATGTATACGTATGTATGCACTTATGTATATGGATATATATGTGTGTACAAACACAGATACATATTCATGCATACATGAACACATTTAACCATCCATACCATGCATACATACATTTCTGGACCCGGTCTTGAAAACAAAACAGTATCATTAAAAATACAATCACAACTTACCAAGATTTTCACCTTTAATTACAATTTTTGAAACAGACTTTCTTTTTTTTTTAAAAAAAAAATAGATATAAATACACAACAAGAATATATCTTTATAATGATGGTATACACATAGTTCATTGAATTTATAAGTAACTGTTTTTGGAACTGGGAAGCAATGAAATACATATTTATTAATTTTTTAAAATATTCAGACACATAATAATTACCAAAACGAGAAAATAAATTAATTGTAATTTATTACCATTAGCAAAAAAGCCCATATACTGCAAATAAAACTACAGTACTTTTCCGTTTTGCCGGCACAAATGATAAAGTCACCAATAATGGTACAACTGACGCCAAACGGAATATCTTCGCTGGGTAACTTTTTACGCCTCGTTTTCAAAAAAGTCACAGCCATTTCTTATCAAATTAATTGTTTCTTTCAATACTGGCCTACAATTAAATAGAATATTTACAAAGATAATTAAATTTTATGCTCTAAGACCAACTTGCGGTAATTAAGTCAATTAGGTTGCAATCACACCACTCACCCGAAGGTGAAAATATAGAAAAGGCAAAATCAAGGGTTAAATTCATCAATTCTAAAGAGAATGCACTAGTGAAGTAAAGCACTATGGTTTTACGTAATTTCTGAGTAAGCTATTCGTACGAATTGAAATAATTCTTGCATTTAAACTTGTATTCCAAATTAAGATTACAAACTAAGATTAACTTGAAACTGATGTAGATAATTATTGAGAGAATTATATTTTTGTAATGTAGTTTACGTGAGATGAGATCACTTGGGGTAACATGATACGAACCAGCGAACCAGGATGTTGAACCATGATAGCATAGTAAATTCTTAAATTAATGTCTTTCTACAAATTTATAAACCATATTAAAATATTTATGCCTTCAAAATAAAAAATTCTTAGAACTAATATTTGTTAACATTTTTTATGTTGTGGTGATGGCGATAAGGAGCGCGCCTTGCGCCCTCCGATAAGTGTGGCAACCCTAGAGGAGAAGTTTCTTACGAGTAGCGAGCAGAGCGAAACAGGCAGGCTGTCGGGGAGTATGCGCGATGTTCCTAAATAAAGCTTAATTTTTATTGTGCACTATGTCTTGTTAATATTTATATTAATGCATATTATTATTATACATGTAAGAACATAATCTGTGATATGGAATTCAAGGATTGGTGGTAAAACATAACCGGAAATCACCATAATGGTAACCCGGACTGTGTTTTAAATCGTATGAACGGTTCTCAAGCACTTTCGGTTTTGACTACAAGCCATCACTCAAGATCTCCAAACCAGAAGTAATGGATTACATCGGTTTTTATCCTCCGGATCACAGATGAGTAGTAATTATAGATCATTTTATAATTACATTTTCTACTTATCATTTAATTTAATTTTCTTTAGTTAAATTTTTGCTTTTATTTTGGCTTAAAAACCTTGCACAATGTCTGATGTTCATGCCGTCCAAATTCCGGTTTATAACCGATCAGACCCATCTTTATGGTTTATTATGTGTGAAAGTACCTTTGCTCTTGCCACCCCCAAACCTATCACAGAATCCATTACTAAATATAATTATGTAGTTGCTCATCTTCCTCCAGATACTGCATCAATAGTACGGGATTTACTTATGAAACCAGACCCTATTGATCCATATACAAAGCTCAAAACTGAGTTAATAAATCGTTCAGGAGAATCTTCTCAGCAAGAAATTCGCCAATTATTATCTGGAGAAGAATTAGGTTCTCGAAAACCTTCCGATTTGCTTAGAAATATGAAACGTCGAGCAGAATCTTTAAATGTTCCTGATAACTTAATGTTAGAATTATTCCTTCAACGTTTGCCTTCGACTGTTCAGTCTATTTTGGCAGCGGTTTCCAATTTAACTGTAGATAAAGCTGCAGAAATTGCCGACAGAATTTTAGAAGTAAATCCAACCCCAGGGACTTGTGCCGTTTCTCGCACAGTCGATCAGTCTCTTGAGGATAAATTATTTAAACAAATAGAAAAATTAAACAAACGTATTGATCGCATTTCTCTTTCTCGTGGTCGCTCGCCAAATCGCGGAGATCGCAATAAGGAAAGAAGCAATTCCAAAAGGAGAGATTATTCTGTTTGCTGGTATCATAGACGTTTTGGGAAAAAGTGTAGAGATGACAAATGTACAAAACCTTGTTCATGGCAGGGAAACGAAACCAGCAAAGAATAGAGGCGACTTATTCTTTGCCTCAAGTTTCACGTCGCCTGTTCGTTCGTGACCGTAGAACAAACCTTTCATTCTTGGTCGATACCGGCTCTGACGTGTCCTTACTTCCAGCAAATAATTCTCAAAAACGGAATTCGTCCCAACAAACACTTTTCGCTGCTAATTCTTCTACTATTCATGTTTATGGTCAAAAAACACTTTCTTTGGATTTCAAATTAAGACGACAGTTTACATGGACTTTTCTTATAGCAAATGTTAGTACACCCATTCTTGGAGCAGATTTTCTCCATTTCTTTGAATTGGTGCCTGATCTCAGAAACAAATGTCTCAAAGATTTAAAAACGCATTTTAAAACCGTCGGTTGCGTGAAAAATGCAAGCATTTATTCAGTAAAAAACTGTATTTAGTGATACACCATATCACAAAATTTTAAAAGAATTTCCTTCAGTTACTAGATTACCAGATCCTAACCAACCTGTTAAACATAACACCGTTCATTATATCATAACTAAAGGTCCACCTGTGGTTGCAAAACCTCGTCGGTTAGCTCCAGATCGCTTAAAAATAGCAAAACAAGAATTTCAAACTATGATGCAATTGGGGCATTTGAGACCTTCGAGCAGCAATTATGCATCCCCACTTCACATGGTTCCAAAAAAGGGAAGTCTGGAATGGAGACCTGTAGGAGATTATCGAGCATTGAACGCTCAAACAATAAAAGACAAATACCCTATTCCATGCTTAGCCGATTTTACTGCTGCATTGCACGGTACTAAAATTTTTAGTCATGTCGACCTGATTAAGGCATACCATCAAATACCAATTAACCCAGCCGACATCCACAAAACCGCCATATGCACACCATTCGGTTTATTCGAAAGTACCCGTATGCAATTCGGCTTATGCAATGCATCCTGCGACTTTTCAACGTTTTATAGATGAAGTCACGCGGGATTTAGAAGGTGTTTACGCTTTTGTCGATGACTTGCTCATAGCCTCTAAAGATTCTGAGGAACATTGCAGGCATTTGAAAGCTTTATTTTCCAAACTTCAGGAATATGGACTTTGCATAAATGTTTCAAAATGCACCTTTGGTCAAACATCTATTGATTTCTTAGGTTTTCACCTTAGTGAAAACGGAATTGAACCTCTTCCTGACAAAGTCAAATGTATTTTAGATTTTCCTCAACCTACCACTCTCACTCAGCTTCGCCGATTTTTAGGCATGTTTAACTTTTATAGATGTTTCATACCTAAAGCAGCACATATTCTTTCTCCTTTAATAAAATTGTTAGAAGGCTATATTAATAAAAAGAAATCTCGTTCTCGTGTTCAGGATTCATCCCCACAATTAAATTGGAACGAGAATGCTGAACAAGCCTTTATTGCTGCCAAAAATGCCATTGCTCAGGCTACCCTTTTGAGACACCCTATTCCCGGAGCCCAGCTAAGCATCTGGGTAGATGCCTCAGACGTCGCAATAGGCGGCACACTTATGCAGTTGTCTCAACAAACATGGGAACCTATAGCATTTTTCTCTATGAAACTCAATAAAAGTCAACAGAAATGGTCCGCGTACGATAGGGAATTATTTTCTATTTATTCTGCAATTAAGAAATTCCGACACATGTTAGAGGGCAGAAATTTTATAATTTATACGGATCAAAAACCGTTAATATACGCTTTTAAACAGAACCCTCATAAATGTTCACCTCGACAATTGCGCCATTTAGATTTTATTTCTCAGTACTCTACTGATATTAGGCATGTGCAAGGTTCAAAAAACGTCGTTGCTGACGCTCTTTCAAGAATCGAAATTGATTCCATAACAAAATCTCCATTTTTGGATTTTAAAAAATTTTCGGAAGCTCAACGGCATGATCCGGAGGTACAAGACCTTCTCAAAAACAACACATCATCTTTGAAACTGGAATTTAAACCGTGCCAATATTCTGATGGTAATATTCTTTGTGACATATCAACAGACATTCCTCGTCCATTTGTTCCGAATTCCTTTCGCAGACTCATCTTTAATCATCTGCATAATCTGTCACATCCAGGAATTGCAGCTACTACGAAGCTTATTTGTTCTCGTTATGTATGGCCCGATATGAAACGTCATATCAAAAATTGGGTGAAATCCTGTGAATCTTGCCAAAAATCGAAAATTACTAGGCATACTAAAGCACCACTGGGCACATTCTCTCTTCCTGATGCACGTTTTTCAGAAATCCATATGGATATCGTCGGACCGTTACCTCCATCAGAAGGCAACGTGTACCTTTTGACTCTAATAGATAGATTCTCCAGATGGCCTGAAGCCATTCCCATCCCGGATATGAAAACGGAAACCATTTGCAGAGCCATCTTCAACTGTTGGATATCTCGTTTTGGCTGCCCATCGATCATAACAACAGACCAAGGTTCTCAAATGAGATCCGCACTTTTTGCAGAATTCACGCGCATTTTGGGTACGAACAGAATCACAACAACAGCCTATCATCCAATGTCCAACGGCATTGTTGAACGATTTCATCGACATTTAAAATCTTCTCTCAAGGCTCACGAGACCAATAACTGGACTGAAACACTACCAGTTGTTATGCTTGGTATTCGGACAGCCGTAAAGGAAGATCTACAGTCATCTTGTGCTGAACTGGTGTACGGCACAACTCTCAAGCTGCCTAGTGATATGATAACGTCATCTAAGATATCTCCGTATGACACACAATTTATCACGAATCTTCGGCATAGAATGCAACAATTGAATCCAATAGCAACATCTGCACATTGCCAAGAAAAATGTTACGTAAGTGCTACCTTAAAGTCGTGTACGCATGTATACTTACGTGTCGATCGAGTAAAGCCACCTCTGTGCCAACCATATACAGGTCCGCATAAAGTCCTTTCTAGAACGGACAAAACTTTCACAATTGATATTAACGGTCTGAAATCTACTGTGTCTATAGACCGTGTGAAACCAGCCTATTTGCTTTCGGACTCTAATTTGCCTGAACTGAAAACAAATAAAGACTTAAAGACAGTTCAGCAGAATAAATCTGCAAACGAACTCTCTAAGACACAAACTGTCACCAGATCGGGAAGACATGTTCACTTCCCTAAGAAACTTGCTTCTTACATAACAATTTAAAACATTTTTTTTTTAAATTCATATCTTAACATATTTCTTGTTATTTCATGTTTATTATATGTGTCAATACCTTGTTATATATTGAATTGCATTTTGATCTTTTCTAATTTTATATTCTAATTTTGTAATCATGTAAAAAAATACCCGACAGTACGGATTCTCTGAGATAATTTCATAACCTATGTCGTTCCTTTGAATAGCCATTAAAGGAACTGGGGGGAAACTCTGTGGTGATGGCGATAAGGAGCGCGCCTTGCGCCCTCCGATAAGTGTGGCAACCCTAGAGAGAAGTTTCTTACGAGTAGCGAGCAGAGCGAAACAGGCAGGCTGTCAGGGAGTATGCGCGATGTTCCTAAATAAAGCTTAATTTTTATTGTGCACTATGTCTTGTTAATATTTATATTAATGCAGTAAGAACATAATCTGTGATATGGAATTCGAGGATTGGTGGTAAAACATAACCGGAAATCACCATAATGTGCATACTGTATGTTGTTGCCGACAAAGTCTGCTTGGCGAGATTTGCATTGGCGAAACGGAAAAGTACCAAAACTACTTATTAGTAGTGAAATTATACAGATAAAACACATTTTAAATATGATATGAAAAAACTCGGTACTATTCCGTTTTGAGGACCGTAAAAAATCGCCAAACTATTGTTGATGCCAGTGAAGCCAAAAATAATTGCGGCAACCCCAACGCAAGAAAGGAAGTATAATAGTAAATAACTATCTAAGATTATTGCTTTAATTTAGATAAAAGTTTAACTTCATATAATACTTTTTCATTATTTTAATTTATATAAAAAAAGGATAAACATAACTGAATGGAAACATAAGAGTAAATAACTATTTCAGATCATTATTATAATTTATATAAAAAAAGGCTAAACATAACCGAGTGGCTACCGAATCATTGCCAGAGCATTATTTCATCTCGTTGGTTGTTCAAACATAATTTTCTATAATGATGATGTAATTTATTTTTCTTTGAAAAAATTCTGTTGCAGACTTTTCGTCACTGAGCAATTCCCAAATTGTTAAATCCACAGCGTTATCAAAAAATGATTTAAAAATTAAATTAATATTTCAATGGCGTCTTAAGAAATATAGAACTATCAAACTTACATAATTTGAAATCAGCGTGTATGCTAGATTTGGCACACTGTTAAATGGGTGCATTTTCTAGATTTGCCGCTTTTACACATACATTTTTGCTGAAATTTTTTTATGGTCCTCGAAACGGAATGGTACCAAAAACTCTTAAAGAAAACAAGAGCCAAAGGCATTAAAAACCACTCATAATTATATATTTACATGTACCTCCTTTTACTACACGAATTCATTAAAATTTTATTTTAATAAAATAATAATCAATCCAGTTAAGAATTTAATAAATGCTAATTTTATATAACGATACAATCTTTCATTTAATAGATAAATAAAATTTTATAGAAGTAAATATAAAATACCTGATCATCATTTTCATCAGAAAAAGTGATTGATGTTAATTTATATGAATTATTTAGCAGGTATTCATTGACAAGAAAGTTTAAAGCTCTTTTTTCATGAGGTTTTACAGCATCTTGAACAATAGACTTTGCTGTAGCACATGTTGGAGTATTAGGATCAGATTCTAAAGAAGAATGAAAAAGAATCCTTAAAAAATATTTCCAAGTTGAAATAAGGAAATTAATGTTAAAAATCATTTAGAAATTTAAAAGAATACAATACTGTAATAAAGACAATGCAAAGTTTAGGATTATAACAATGTATTAAAAAAATTACAAATTAAATTTACATACACCTCATAGGATAGGAACTTTTATCGCTCACTCATTTCTTAAACATCTATAAAACTGAAGCATTTCATCAGCACAAGGCACGAAACTTTATCATTCCATCTCAAAAGATAGCACCCTTTCTAGTAGTTATCACCCACATTCTCTCTCTTTTCCTGCATTTTCGCTTAACTTTTTATCTGATTCAAAGCAAGTCCAAAGTTAATCACCTCCCCTCCCCAAAAAAAATCTCTTTTTTTGATAAAATCTTTTCTATTTAACTTCCGATCCTTGTTATTATGTAAAAGCCATTTTCTGATGCAACCATGCCTCACGTGAACTTAATTGGTCAATCTCAGTCTGCCACAATCTTTTCTGTACCAAATACAATGATGGAGCAATTAAAATCAGGCAACCCACTTATTTTTCTACATCGCCCCAAGAAAAATGAGTACGGTACTTTTCTCATCTTTTTCGCTGCAGGAATTTTCCAAGAAAATTTTACAATCATTTTTAATTATTGTTCAAAGAAATGCAATATGCAGTGTATGAGATTTAAAGGGAAAAGTTATATACCCTTACCTGTAGCAACTGTAAGATTTGTTCTTAATGCCTTAATTGTTTCTTTGGCTTTTCTTAATTCAAATTCTAAAACTGCAAAGAAAAAAAAATCGGTAAGTGTAATAGAATATAGCGAGTTTTATGAGTTTAAACAAAAGGTGTCTTTCGGGTTACATAGTTCAACACACATTCACAAGGGTCAGCTTACAAAAATAAGACTAGGGCCTCACACTGTAGAATCATTAGGATTTTTTGATGCAGAAGACATGAAAAATTAGCAATGTTCTCACCATGACTCGAACATGGACCTTTCAAATAAAGGCCGAGTGTGCTAACCATTACAACATGAAGGCATGCAGGAAGGAGGGAGAAAATAGCTTATATACCACCCCTTTTAAAGGGGGACTACGGATTAGCGGACCCAATCGCCAAATCATGGCGGTGAAGCATTATCATCCACCACTTTTTAGTTTGGGTGCCACTGTACAGTCATTAAGTTTTTTTAAGCAGTGCACATGAAAATTGAGCAATACCCTTGGCGAGACTCGAACCTGGACCTCTTGAAATGCGTGTCAAGTGCGCTACCGTTACACCATGAAAGCATGCAGAAAGGAGGGAGAAAATACCTTATAGCACAGAATCCAATATTGATCAATATAATCTATATTATTCATTGCATCTGATAAAAACATGAGAATAATATTATTTAAGTAAACATTTAGCCTGTTTTCTAAATACCAGTACTTCTATATATAATTTATAGATGTGGAGCAATTGTAAGGATTAAAAATTTCCAAGATATTCAATGAAATTTTTTACAAACTTTTCTTATACTTTATATGGAAAACATGTTGCTCATAAATACATACACTTTCAAAAATAAAAATTACAAACATTCATAAAGATATATATGCAAATAGAAGTGTGCATGCAAGTTATTTTATCAGGCAGGCATAGCAAAAAATGCCCACTCATTCAATTTTCTGTATATGAACACTAGAAATAACTTTGATGGTAATTTGATTGCTACTTGGATCCTTTATTGCCCAGGAATTGCACAGTTAGCACAGGTACAATCTCAGGATTGTTTGCAGCCATTATTATGAAGCTTATACAATCTTTAATCAAGGTCTCGTTGGGACTTCCGCGAGTCTTTAATCAAGGACTCATCGGGACTTCGGCGATTTCGAATTATAGAGCATCAGTTAAATCTGGTAAGATGGCATGCAGAAATTATACAATTAAAAATATGAAACTGTAATGTATGAAATAAAGAGCAATATGATCTAAAGGGTATCAAAATTTACAAAAAAAAAAAAAAAAAAAAAAAAAAAAAAAAAAAAGCTAAATATTTGTTTACTTTATTAAACATTTCTTTCAACGCGCGCATGCATAAAGCATATGTTACGCATAGTCGAAATTAGAAAACTGCAACCAGAAAACTATCTGATGTGCATTCGTAGTATTTATAATGACGAGGAATTTGATTTAAATCATATCAAAGACTGAGTACATCAAGATGAAATACTACATTTAGTAAGGAATTATAAGCCGAATAAAATAAAAACATCTGCCCTGAAGATAAGGATAGTGCTGACAGATCAACTTCCAGTTCATTGCTTATTACAAATAGCTGTAGCAGCATTATCTGGAATGAATAAACAATGTCACGTTTCTGAAACATCCTGAGGAGATGTCAGAAGCAAAGTTCTTTGGGCAGATTTTTAGTAAAGATCAACTTGATGATCCTCCATCTGCCTTTTTCACCGTTCCTGCACAATGGAAGGGAAAGGAAAATGGTTTGCAATATACTACAAAGTTTGGCAAGTGAATTATTCTTGGTGCAAAATGAAAAAAATACACTAAGATAAATTTGTGAATTTCTCCATAAATTTCACACCAAATTTTACAAACTTTAATATTTAGGCATAATTTGAATCATGGAATCGAAATATGGAAAAACATTGGTATGTTACTTCAGGAAAAGTCCCATTTTGTATCAAAAGACCTATGTTAGAACAATGCTATATATAAATCTAATATATATACATAAATCTAATAAATATAAAGCTATATATAAATCTAAGTTGTGCTTTTGAGACATGAAAAACAAATTTTTCAATTGGTCCAGTAGAATGGGAGATATAGAACCGTCCCCCCCTTTTTTCTTTGCACAGTGTACATGGACAAAGTTAAGGCAGTGCACAATGCCTAATTTGTGCAATTCTCCATTTTTTTTTTTTTTAATAGGTCAATATGTACATGGACACTGAGTTTGTGTATCTCTTTGACTTCTTGTTTTGGTTTTGTGCAGCGGGCAGAAGGATAGACACCATCTTGAAATTGGTGCCAATCTTGGCATAAAAAAAGAGACAATTCTCCAAGGGGTACTGTAAATCTTAACCAAAACATAAAAATCATATTAATCTAATAACAAAAAATTAATATAAAAATTTAACTGCATTTAAAAAAAATTCTGAAAAGTTAAACAAAATCGTAACAATATTGAAAAAAATATTTTTAATTAAAAAATACACTTAAATAAATATACAATTTGATACGGATTAAATAATCAAATAAATTTTTAATATAATATAATGAATGCACGAGACATTGATAATCTGAATAAAAACAGAACAATCAGAGAAAGTTAAAAAATGTAAAGGAAATCATAAAATAATAGAAAAAATATGTTTCAATTAAAAAAATATATTTAACTGGAAACAATTACACACCAAAGGCTTACTGAAATATATGGTAAACCCTGCTAAGTTTGCAATTAAAATTTAAGATCAACATCCTGCTTCTCCATATCATTTTCATACGCAATGGAACTGGAGGTTGCTTAAAATGAATTTGCGATGGCAGTCTAACTCGAAAATAATTTCATGGCAGTTTAACATACAGAGTACATGAAGATTCATTTAGTCGAGTAAATGAAAAACAGAAGTAGTTCCTCAGTTTTCTTCACATTTTTTTGTAACTGTTAGTAATATCTGCCTACATTTTTTATAAATATATTTTAACACAAAATTTTATTTTTTCTAGTTACATTTATTCGATTCTCAAATATGATGTAATGGATATAAATAAGTACTACAAATAAATTTTAGACAAACTTGTAAATAAAATATACTTACAAATCATAATAAGAAGAAAAAATTAGATATAATATTACTTTTAAGAAGGAAAATACTTCCTCCCTTTTCTAACTCAAAATAAAAAGGGCACCATGTTGAATATATGTGACAGATATACAACAAATAGTTGCTTTTGTTTTTCATTTGTTTAATTAATAATAGAAACCATCCAAGTCCAATTTAGTTACACTAAGCTATGTACAGGTTATAGTTAATGAATAGAAAAGGCTATTTAATGTAATAAAGAAAAGAAAAATCCAGTATTTAAAATTAATTATATTTTCATAAAAGATCATCAGTAAAAATCTGAATACTTTAGATATACATTTTAAACTTTATAAGCAGTATAACTGACCTGCAACTCTCTCATCTACCTGTCGTTCACCATCATCAGAATACCGAGTGAAATCAAGAGAATCAAAAGTCTGAACACTAGAAGTCCTTGCTAAGAAAAGATGGGGGGGGGAAAAAAGTGCAAATTACAATAAGGATATAATACATATAATACTGGCACTTTCTTATTATAGTAACCACACGATAAGTGATCGAGGTGATTTGGTGATCGAGGCTGAGAATCAAACAAATTGTACACTAAAATTGTGGAAACTACTTACAATGGCTACTTTAATAAGGAAGTACCATAACATTTAACATAGAATTTTAATAGTACAGCTCACACAAAATACATGCCACATTTAGTATCCAAATCTGGAGTATGCTTTTGTGTCCAGTTGCTACAGTATATATATATGCCTATAAATTGATTTTCATTCTGTAAGTCCTATGAACTGAAAGAGCCAAGGTTTCATATCAAACGGCAGAGTTATGCCATCTTCAGCCTTCATCACAAACTGGTCCTGCTGCTCTATTAACAACATAGGGAAGCATGCCAGTAGCAATAATGAACATGATATGTATGATCTATGTATCCTATTCTGATGACAGTTGCACCACTACACTATCAGATTTTCATAAACACATTCTATCAGTAAAAAGTGGTTCATCACCGAAATACTTGATTGGACAGCCTACCTCTAGCTAACAATAGCTTTCCGAATCTATCACTCAGAAGTAAATGTTACGATGAACAGGTAAACAGTCATTTCCGTAGATAATATGCCTTGACAAAATATGCACGACAATCACAAATCCATAACACCGATTTTGAAATGCCAAACACATGATGACACAGCTGAAAACTGGTAAACATAACAAAATATGCAAGTAGAAGTAAGTGTGAAAATAACTGGGCAAAAATGCATGTAAGAATAAAAGAAAAAACAAGAACTTAATTTAGAAAAACACATTCTTCAAGTCATTAAAACTCAAACCACAGCAGTTCAGATTTACGTTCCTGTTGCATATTAGGAAATGGCTATGCCCTGCTCGCTCATAGAAAAAACACACATATAGCATCTAATCCTAAGGTATGCTCTAGCTCCAGTCAATATAATAAGTATCCATGAACTAAAAAATTCAAACTGTCTGTGGCTCTTAACCCATTAACCACCAAAACTACAAGGAATGTTTCTTTTCTCATGAAAATAATACAAATATCAAATTAAGCATTTATAACATAAATTTACATTGAAAATTTAAAAAATGCTCTTACCTGTGGAAAACACGAGTGTTGCATTCGCGCAACGTCAGCGGAATAGACTACGGATGTTTAGTGAGTAGGATTGTACTCGTGTGATGTTTCTTTTGAGTGGAGCGCAGGATTACTTTTTAGCTGTATAATGTTTTATAAATCTACAAATCACTTTACGTGTAATTAATTTAATATTAAAATATACATTATATTTTGTTTACAAATACAGATTATTTCAATTGAAAGATTCAAGCATGAAAAGCTTGATTACAATCATGATGTAAAGACACATTACATACTTTGCATCTGTAAACAGTCTGGCTATGGTACTCTTTACAACAAAGTCTTTTGTTATCAACGGACTTTACGATAAAATGTCTACCATCTCCATGCAATGGTTTTGAATTTACTAGGTCTTCCTGTTGCTGATCTATTTATGGCTAATTCTACACTCTCAACAGGAGTATGCAAAAGGAATAATGCATTCTCGCGTCTGAAATCTAAAAGAGACTTTATATTTCCAGTAGTAAAAAGTGGTGATATTTAATAAGTTTAGATATGGTCTCACCTCATTAAATTTATCAGTATTGTCAACTTGACTATTGCCAAAGGCAAATTCTGCTTCATATTCCTGTACTGCAAACGTTATATCAATTCTCGTACAACAGGAAAAGAAATGTCCTTATCAAAAGACCAATACATTTTTTCTTGAGGTAAAGAATTATCCTCCTTATTCCTTATTATTATGCTTATATCCTATAAGCAATAATATTCCAATAAATCTTCACATATAGGCTTCAGATGCAATAAATTCTGTTTTTTTCCCTTCTGAGCGTATATATTTATCTGTTCAACAAGAAGAGAGTAAATGTCTAAACCAAAACGAAAATCAAAAATCTGTGCACTAGTTTTACCTTGTATTTTGTCTTTTATAATTTCTCTTCTAGTATCTCTTTCTTCATGTTCTTCCTGAGACATAACTAACAGTTTCTTTTTTTATACACTTCAAGATTTCAATCTTCTGCTTTTTAAACTTTTTAGTATGACTATAACTGCTTTTAGAAGGCTGAAACTTAACTTCTTACGTGAATTTCAACTTTCCCAGCAGTATTTGGTGAAACATCATTATCATTATTTAAAACATTGCCATTCCTTTCTTCTTTGTCACTAGTTTCTGCAATTTCTGGGGAAACAACAACAATATCAGTTTCATTCTGGTCATTATTAACATTATCATCATCTGTTTCTTCATCAAAAAATCTTTGAAGGGCTTCTTCTAATGTAAGATACCTTGTTCCAGGCATTTTTTGAACAACCAGAACTTCGAAAGAAATGAGTGGAAAAGGAGATTGACTACCCGTTTCCTTGACGTTGCGTCAGCGCAACACCTGTTTTTCCTTGCTTCCCAACACAAATATAAACATCTGACTGATGTAATGTTCTGATAAACAGTGACCTTGACTAAAAATAGAGCACTCATAAAGACGGCGATTCTTTCCTTAAATATTTTCAGCAAAAATAATCGGTCGAAAATTTTGCTTAAAGTATGATATTAATTATTATAAACAAAATGATTGTTGAAGGCAAATATTTTTTTACAGAAATAATCTTCATAATATTCCCTACACAAAATCATCTGCTGGTATAAAATATCTTAGGTTGTTATATTTATATACGCATTTATTTTGACCATTGCATCAACGCAACACCAGTGGCTAATGGGTTAATGATGGAAGCATGATGCTACCAAGTTTTACTGACAGATGGTGTTACCATCATACCAACATCAAAGCCAACATTGTGCAAAGCATCAGAAAAATTGAAAGTAAAATTAAGCGAAATTCAGCAATACTTTATTATCTATACTTAACACCATTTCCTCTCAATGGGGGTGGTATTGCCCCCCAGGAGGCAATGAAAGGATGCTGAGGGGCGATGAACTTGTTTTGGACAGCGAGAATGTTTTAGCATTCAAACTTAATTTTAAAAATCCCCTCAAATTTATTAAATCGATTAGCCAATTTACACCATTTGTACCAGCAATAAAACAAAGTTATGCTACGGCTCCCCTTATGCAATTCTAAGAATGGTGAGACAAATCTGCAAAAAAAAAAAAATTCACCCTGACAAACACAATAAAGATGTATCATTTTTTCCAAAGATCAGAGACAAGTTTCTGAAGGCACCATCTGTCTCAGGGTTACAAGCAACCTCATAAAAAAATGTGACGATGGTTTGACAGCCTCTAATACATCAAAATTAATTCTTTAATCAAAGTAATCTCATACCATGGGCGAAGAGATGATACAAGAAAGAGAAGTCGACTCCAGATCGTGGAAAGAGGGAACTTGCACCTTCATCACACAAAAAATATTGAACCAAACATTTAGAAACTGGCTCTGAACCATTAAACACAGACATGACCATACTTGATTGTTTCACAGATATTACTCTTTTAGTGTACTTTGTTTGCTGTTCTTTTTTAATTGTTTAATTAGAAATAAATAATTTTTAAACATAAAACATCGCTTAAGCAATTTTTTCTGGCATTAGTCATTTCAGTTTTTAACAAAAGAAATGTAATTACCTTCCAGGTAAATCTATCGAGTTAAACAAGTTTGGTGTGTAAGTCAACTGAAAAAGATACTTAGATTTTGTGCCTTTTATAATTCAGGAACCTCCTTTCCCATACTTAAATTACAGGATTTTCGCAAGGGGGATGTTGAAAAATTTTCTTTCCTTAGGGGGCAGCAGCTTCGAAAAGGTTGAAAATCACTGCTCTACACTGAAAAATCAAGAACTCTTTATCAACTCTGAAGAGAAATGCACATTTCAGTATCATGTCTATTTCAATGCTGAAACACTGCCAGAAATTTTTTCGAGAAAAAACACATACACTTTTCATAGGTAATTATAACAATCAATAGTTGCATTTAGGGATAATCTGTTCTTCTTCTTCACAGAATTCACGGACATATATTTCCCTGTCTAAAAAAGAAAACAGCTGTTGTAAATGAGGTATGGCGAACTAGTTTCCAACCCACAATTTAATTAGTAATTATTAACTTACAAGCAAAAATAGATGTTATGCTCATTAATTTCAGCTATTTAATTACTTTTAAAACTGTCAGAAGAAAAACCAAGTCAATGTAAAAAAGAGGGAGAATATCTGATTAAATTTTTTTTTTTTAAATCTGATTTCTTCATGCTTATTAAAAATGATGTAAATTTAATGTTATAATTAATCAAAATTTACAATTAATTTAACCCCCTAAAATTACATTTTTCTAGGTTAATTTATCTCTTCTTTAGCTCATTCAGTGAATTTTAAAATAGAGATCACAGGTAAAAATGGCATAAGCATTTTTGGTTAATCAAAATATCACTAGCAAAAACTGTTTGTATTTTAGCATACTCCCTTTTAAAAACAATTAATATGAAAAAAAAAATTATTATTTTAACCAAAAAATTCACCGTTCTCCCAAAATGAATGGCCTAAATATTTTATTTTTGTAATTTATAAAGTCTAATTAAGCATTTTATTCTCTAGAAACTTTTAAGGATGTGTTTTTGGGCAAGTTCAAAATTTTTTTCTGAATTTACTATTTATTTTTATTATTATTTAATAAGCAAATAACTTTGTTTATGCATCAAACACACATTAAAAAATTCACGCAAACTATGCTATTATAGAGACAGGAAGGATAGAATACATCACTAGTCTTGTCAACCGATGCATATTTAATATTATTTAGCTAAACGAAATAATGCACGTCTAAGGTAATATATAACTAAACGAAATAATTAATTTCTGAAGTATAACCATTTTATTTTCAGCTTTTAGTTCCAAGTGAAGGAATAGTTGGTCATTTAATAAAATCTGACATTAGCTATGAAGAACATACACGGGAGTTAGGAACAAAAAAAACATGACTGTCGGAAATTTCCCGCGTCACATACTACATACAATACGCTTTTTTTGTAGCAAGAAAGTACCATAATATTCTCCAGTATTTCATTTTTACAGCAAATAATTCTCGATAATATAACATATCGGTAACTAAATTAACATACATAATTGGTTATTAAAATAATCTCAGAATATCTTTGAAGGGGCGGATCACAAATGAGAAGATGACTTATGAATAATTAGATCTAAAAAAAAAAAAAAAAAAAAAAAAAAAAAAACGTACGTAAGACTGGAGACGTTTCTGTCTCTTGCAAATGTTTTTCAAAATTCCCTGGATTGGAAAAGTAATCTCGAAGTCTTGGTAATTCCCTTCCACTCTCAACTAATTCAGTATGAAATTCAAGAGCAGTCAGTATAAAATTATACTTTAATAGTTTTATAGCCAATTTATCAAGAGTACTATCTTTTATGTCCTCAGTTTCACTTTTTAGATCCATTTCACCAACACATGTTTCAAAATTTATTGTTAATTCTTCCATTATATTGCCTTCTGCCGATTCTAAACAAACAGAATCAGACATGTTGCCTAAATGCTTTAAATCATTTCAACAACATAAATAGAAAACCGTTAACCATGAAGAGCCCATTCAGCTCCGCCTACTATATATGACAGACTGAATTTAATTTGACATGAAGATTACTGCTTTTTATAGAAGATGATTAATAACGTAAAATATTTTTTAAATGTTTAAGCTATTTACGCAAATATATTTTCGCAATTTATAATTTTAATTAGTGAAAAATTTCTAATATAAAGATTTGATAGCTTTTGTAATGTATTTAAAAATACTTTTAAAAAACTTTTCTATGGCACTTGATTTAGTTCTGCCAAATAAATTCCTAAACTCTTTATCTAGAAATCTTTCGAAATCTTTGAAAGCGTAATACGAGTTGATTTTTAATAATACTTTTCAAATAAACTTTGAATTCCAAATCATTAGAACTAGAAATTCAAGATTCAGTATAAATTTATTCAACTGAAAAAAGAAACAAAGAAAGATAAAAAAAAACAAATAAAAATATTCGTAAAAGGAAAATAAACAAGAACTAAAGTGACGTCATATGTCAGCCAATGGAATGTCGCCAAGTTTTGACAGATGTGACGTCACACTCTGAAGTAAACAGAAACAGAGGCTTGGGGAAGAGCATCTGTGCTGCTCAGCTGACGGGTAGAGATCCGAGAAGGGTTTGATTGATTCAGAGCGTGAAGAGCGATACTATAATTTATTTTAGAAATTAAAATTATCGTTTTCTTACAAAACTTTATCGTAACTGAAAGGTGAGCTACATTTTCTTCATCTTTTAGAAAATATATTCTTGATATTAGTGTAATGCATTTAACCTTATGTCCTTGTACAAATTCTGATTCTCTTTAATGGGATGACTGCAGGCTTTTTAAAAAATTTAACCTTTACAGATATTTAGATATTTAAATGTATGGCATTCACTTAAGTTTATTAATTATTAATAATTTTTGCTTTTCATTCTTAATGATATTCATAATTATAATTTATAATTATATTATTTGCAGCGTAATTTTTATGAACTCGTAGAAAAATATATCAAGGGTTAGTAGGTATATTAAAGCATTTGAAACTGAATGTTAATATTTTAAAAGTCATTATATCTATCATCTGTAAAACTGTCATTATATAACATCTGTCATTATCTGTACAACTGAATAAAACTGACATTTTTTTCTCAATAGGGTGGAAAAAATTGAAAAGAAAATAATTTGCGTAAGAACCTCTTGTTTCAAGCCTTGGCATATTTGAGAATTCTAAGCTACGAATCACAATAAATAACAGTAGAAGATCTAGAAAAACAGAATTGACTGGAAGTAAGTGTACAGTTTGTTTTTTGTGTTTTTGTAACTATTATAATAATTTTCAAATGTATATGAATTTATTATTTTATTTTTAACTCTTTCATATTTTAAATCAGCTGCTAAAGGTATGCTAAACAAAATTTAATTTTTTAATAAATTTTATATTTTAGAGAGCAATATTTAATTTTTAGATATGATGGAAAAACGCAGAAAAATTTGACTTTAACAACTATATAAATGAAATACTAATCAAACTAATAATTCCTTCGGAAATAAACCTAATCTTCTAAATTTATGACAGGTTTATTGCATTAATTTATTCGTTTGCTGATTCTCTTTTATCATATGTAATACATACTAATAAAATCAAAACAAATTGCTGCTTGTAAGAAAAAAAAAATATTCTTGCGAAAATCAAATAATTATTAAATTCTGGAAACATAGGAAATATTGTGCAATTTAATTATAAAATAAAAATAATAGTGCATTTAATATGTTTAGAAAAACTATTTCCTAAGCATATTTTATGCACTATTTATTTTTTAAATGAAGTAATTGTCCTGTGATATATAATTCATGAGTTATTAAAAAAAGAAAAGAAAAATGTACGCATCCGCAAAATATTTTTTAAAAATTAAAATTCTTCCAGATTTTATATAATTTATGAGTTATTAAAAAAAGAAAAGAAAAATATTTTTTTAAAATTTTAATGGCATAGATTTGCATTTATTTGGCCAAACAAATTAAAAGTGAAATTTCGTTTCTGTTAAGATATGTATTTGATTAACAAATTACCCGAATAAAATTCTTTTGAAATACAGAGAGCCTCTTTTTTATTTAAAATGATGGCTAATTTAGTTTAATCTGGAAGTTGAATTTTTTTCTAATGTTAAATTAAGATAATTTTTTTTTAATTACCATTTCAAAGTCACATATTTATTTTGACCATGGGATAAAAAATTTGTGTGCTAAAAATATTAGGTATAAATAAAACATTTAAAGATTGAAAAAGTAAAAATTTCATTTTTATCATTTAAAAGCATATATGTTAGTAAAAATGCCACCAAACTTAAAACAGACTTCAAATTGATTATTTTTTCTAGGAAAATTATCACTTAGAAATTATTGTAACCGGATTCAAATATGTATGCGTATATGCATTATTTTACATACATGTATATGTGTCTGTGTGTATGTGCATGTATACAGATAACATATGTAGGTACTTCCATCCACACATGCATACTTATATAGATGGGCACAGACATTTCTGAATCCATTCTCAATAACAAAAAGTACCTTCTATGGTAGTACAGTACCCAGTTATTATTTTTGAAGAAATTCTTTTTCTTTTCTTTAGTTCAAAATATATTAAAACACCCGTTTAATTTTCTGTGGAAAACGCTTTTCCTAACATTGAATTTTCAGTTCCAGGTCCTACAGAAGCAGTTACATTAAGTTAATTAAAATTTTTGAATGTAATTTTAAACACTTAGAAAATTCTAAAACTTGAGGAAGAAAATTATGGGTAGGCAAAAAAGAAATTTGAAAACTATGCATTTTTATATCTCAAAACACTTTTCCTTTCGATTGGCTTGTAAGCGTTACCCCGAGACCTGAATCGTGCTGTTGCTATGGTGACAACGGCAAATCCTCTTATTTAGGGCCCGTACAAAAATTGAATATTCGTGCCGCAATAGGCCGATTGCCTCTTACCCGAAGTTAAGACATAAGACAGACAGAATATTCTTTAGTACTGATCTGAGAGATAATAGAAATATTTATTAAATTAAAATAAAAAATTATTGTTGTTCTACTAGACAAGGATAATATTGCCCTATTTTATTTTGTTTTATTTACATTTATTTATTTATTTATTTTTTTATTCATGCATCTTTTTCCCGAACGAGAAGAAAAACACTTTTCTCGTTTATTATCTCGTTAAAAATTTGTTTTTTCTTCCTAAAACGGTTAACATCAACTCTTAACACGGAATTCATCAGTGTGTTGTTCAGTGTAATTTAGCAAAAAAGTTCCAGTAGAACTATGGAGAAGAGAAAAATTAGACTAAAACACAGCGGGGTATGTGTTTTCTTCCTCTCCTTTCATTCTCTTTGCGTGTAAAAAATTATAGAAATACACATTAAAATAAAAATACTAAATTATGTGTGTGAGAGTAACTTCTGTTTATTAATTTATCTATAGTTATTAAGTAAGAAAGTAAAGAGCAAATAGAATAATAAAAATATAAGGTTTATCTAATAACAACAGATCATTTGTTCAAGTATTGAATTTCAGGTTTCTATGAATTTTGAAATAAATTTTCACATTTATAAACGAATATTTCAGATTTGCAACAAATTTTAAAAATTGTGCGTGTACTTGTGAATGTATTTTTTATGTGATACTTGTTTTTACAGTATACATAGTATTGAAATAGTAAAAGCATGCTCATTATTGAGCTATAAAACGAAAATTTTAGACTAACAAAATATTTCAAGTAGTGTTTCATATCATTATTAATCAGTTTTATTTAATATAATATCATATCAAAATTAATGCAAATATATAATCTCAAATTTTATGCATAATATAGATTCATTAGTTGTCTACCAGCTTTTGACCGCACTAAAATGTGATAAATGCATATGTTTATTTCTGTAAGCTGGATAAAACTAAATGGGTAAAAGTATAGTTTAGGGCGAAACTTGACGATTTTTGGCTGTACATGGATACCGATTTTGTGCAATTCTTTGACTCGTTATTTTGGCTTGCGAAGCTGCGATTTTTGCCCCCAAAATCGCCGCTACACAAAGCCAAAATAACAAGACAAACAATTGCACAAACTCTGTATCCATGTACACATCGACTTATTTTCTCTTAAAAAAAAAAATCCTCGAATTGTTCAAAAATGGCATTGCGCACTCCCTTTACTCTGTCTATGTACACATCGATATATTTTCACTTAAAAAAGTCAAAGGAGCACCAAGGTCTACAATATAGGCAAACAAAAAATACATAATTTCAATAAAATACATTTTAAACCAAACAATAAAATAACATAAAAAAGGAAAAACATGTTATACATTTAAGCGCTACCAAAAGCAAATATTCACTTACCACGATTTTCGGGTTCGCTTCGTACACCCAGAGCCACGTAAAAATCAAAATATCAATCATACTCAAATGACTTTTTTCAAACCAGGTATTCTTTCTGATTGAACGCTTCACATAGTGAGCATCTGAACCTTTTCTTCCTACAAACCCATTCAAATCCATCTAAAAGGGTTTTTACTTTCAACTAGATGCATATCCTTTCTACATACACTTATACATGGCTACTAAGTAAACCTTCATTTACACACATTTACATTCCACGATTCAAAATTTCCCAGAATCATGCACCCGATTACGTCACAATAGGGTTTCCATAACATTCAACTACTCAGGCTATCATAAATGAAACAACAACTTGGCAATAAATCAAACAAAAACTTCGCCATAATACAAGGGGTACCTTAAAGTCTACTCTACCCAACTAAATGTTAACATGAAACATACATACTGATATCGTCACGCAATTGTGTACGTTTGATAAATCACTTTTTCGTGTTATGTAAACAACAACAAAAAAAGTTTATCAAATATTATCGTATCTCAAGTAAATTATTCAATAATCGTCAGAACAGATTCAAAGAAAAAGCTGTCTCTGGTATAGTAGCCATGAAATGTATCATATTTGTAAATGTGCTATACAGCAACAATGAAAGGGCTAATTTCCAGGTATTTCACCTATTTAACTGCGAAAGAGAAGTATAGCAGATGCAAAATAAAATTTAAAATTTTTAAATTCCTAATTAAAATACATAATAAATATAAAAAAATGGTTCGATTAATTTTGATATTAAAAAGTGTTAAGCTAAGTCATTTTCGATTTGGTACCTTTCTATTAACGGGATACCACTTAGTTCTAAACATTAAGGTTGGCGGAAACTCTTAATTAGATGGCCGCATACTTAAAGCTTCATGGAAAAAATTTAACACTTAAGAATTCCACAAATTCGGCATCGCTCCTAGCCTTGGCATTGCTCACATAAAGCATTGCACAGTTATTCATGATGCGATATAAACATGCTATCAAATTCGGCTTTTATATGTATCGCGCACATTTGCCGACAGTAAGAACAGTACTCCAAATGTTCTGACACAGTATGCCAATTTTATGGACTGCTTCGTTAGTACCTTATCGTACTTCTTTAAGTATCAGTTATAGTGTAGTCATACATATTATTTGCCTATTGGTATTCGAAAGTTAATGAGCAAAACACGCTAAGTGAGCTGTACAATAGAAATCTGCATCTGAATAATCCATTAACCTAGACTTGTCCTAGTAAATTTGTAAATTTTATTAATTGAGGTGAACGCGCGAATAAAATGCGCAAATATTGCAGTATGCACGTCTTACTGCAGTTTATTGTAATACCTGTGAAAAGTAGTGTTATCATTATCGAGCAACAAATTATTATTTGTGCTGAATATAGAACCAAATTTCTTTTTTAGTGAGTATAGTCATCTAATTGACAAATAAGGGCACTCACAGATAGTAGTTTATGTGCGACATTACATTATCTGTAGATTATGATGAAGTTACAAAATAATGAAGATTTTAGATGATGACTAGTGTAAAGTCGTGTAGGGATGACAGTCTATAAAAAGGAAATTCCATTTGGCACTACGTGCAGAATATTTTAGGACGATATCGCAAGAGAAACTATACGAAGAGTAGGAAACCGCCAACACACCTCTAGCCAGAAAAATTGTTTACGGAAGGGTCGGAAGGTGTCTACGTGCCAAACATTTCGTAGCTACGCACAGATTATTCAATTAAGGCAAAGCACATTAGAACTCATTTGCCTATGGGAAGATATGCCTTCTTGGAGGATTTACCAACGAAAACTTCTGCGTATTTGCTTTACACGTAAGGAACTTTAACTGCGGAAAATACAACATGT